TTGCATGAGGAAGAAAATAAAAATACAAAAATAAAGTAAATCATGAGCTCCAAGACTGCCCGGAAGACTTCAGCTTCATGCGCTTCTTGTTCTCAGAGTTGAGCCTCTGTTAGCGCAAAAGCTCCTTGGTGGGTTTGGAGGCTGCATCAGTGCTGTGGCTTCTTGCTACCTGCGATCTACTCTCTCTCTCTTTTGAAGAGAACTTCAGTGATCGCCTGGTGAGTGCAGTCCTTATTGCTAAAGTATGCATGTGGAGTTCCACCTCAAGGTGCTCTTAACGTTTGGTGTGTTTCCAAAATAAATAAAATCCCCAGTCAAAACGAGGCCACTTCCAAAATGTTAGATGCAGCAGAAATGTTGTCAGGGATTGCCACACAAGCAAGCCTGTGAGATGACTGTCAGGTTGCGACAACCCAGGTTCAGACTAGGTATCAGGAAAGGTTTCCTCACTGTCAGAGCAATACGACAGTGGAACCAGCTGCCCAGAGGGGTGGTGGGCTCTCCCACACTAGAGACGTTCGAAAAGAAACTGGACAGCCATCTGAGTGGGGTGGTGTAAGATGGTGTCCTGCAACAGCAGGGGATTGGACTTTATGGCCCTTCCAATTCTACGATTCTATGATTCTGTGACTGGATTCAGCAATTGCAAGCTTCTTGGAGACAGACCACCAAACATTGTTTCTGATAGGTACATTAACTGCAAACATAATCCAGCGGAATGAAAAAGTGATGTAAAATAGTAGTGTTTGAGAAATCTCTTCAGATGTATAACATCTTTACCTTTGATACTGCACCACGTTCAACCCATTAGGAAGAAATATTACTGCTGCTTCATGCTGCCCTAGCCAAAGAATAAGTATGTCTGCCAAAGCAGAATGAGCGGGCATGCATCATGTAGTCACTCTTCCACACTCTGGTGAAATATATTGCATATCTCCTTTAATATCTATTTAAATTGAATGCATTTGTTTACATTTGTTATGCATTTGTTATTTGTCTATTTCAATAGTTATGAAAGAGTTAAAATTTATTATTTCTAAATTTTCATCTAGCCGTATAATGTGATATATGTTAATGTTCTGCAAATTGATTCCATCTTTTTAGCAATGCAGAAATTGCTGTTCTATTGTGTTCCTATAGGTGGTGTTGAATTTTTTTAACTGCCAATCCACAGCATCTGTATCAAAAACGTGTATGAAATGGCAAGGTGGGAAGAAACAGAAAGTTGTTGGTGGGGTTCACATTTCACTGATTTGAAAAGAAAGAAATGTTCCCAGCAGGGAACAAATGCTCCGAAAGCTTCAGTAAAAGGACTGTGCTTCTGAAGTCTCCTCTGCGTTTGCTGGAGAGGAAATGTTGGAGGGAGACCTGCTTATGACAATAACTGCTTGTCAAATCTGGAGTTAAATAAAAAGAGACAGGCTGCATACCTGCTGTGTATTCAGGGCCCCACATTCAGTCTCTGATAACCTAACAAAAGTGCTTTGAGTAACCATTTCTGCCTAAGAGGTAGAAAGGAGCTTCTAGCCTATGTAAACCATACTGGGGTTCATGGATTACTGTATATTCATGGATACAGCAGTCATATAGCTTATCTCATACTTGATGGCTATTTGGTGTTGGTTTAACTGGTCTGTCTCCCTATGGCAGGTGGGACATCTGAGCCCAAGGCCAAATTCAATCTCAAAGAAGTTCTCAAGGGTCAAAGGTAAAAAGCTTGGGGCTAGATACGCAAAACATGCCAGTGCATTGTAGCTTAAGCTTATACTGCCATCAGTCGATAAATAACCCTTAGGAGAGGTATTTCAGCTTTTTAAAATACTGGGGGGGGGGGTGGAAAATCCATTGAAGCACCCTGGACCTGAGGCCCTGCACCCCTGTTTCATGCTGTTAATCTCATTTTAGCAATTTTAGCATATGTTTTCATTTTTAAGAAATTCTCAGGGGGCCTTCTATCCTGTACGGCACATTAAGTCATAGCAAAGGTGCACCCTCCGAGGATGGCTACAGGTACACAACCAAGTTTACAAGTTGCTACTGTGAGTCCGTATTGGCTGATAATGTCCAATGGCCAAACTAGAAATGGGGTTGTTTGAATGCAAGTCATATACATGCACTCTGAGGAGTGAAGGGAGAATTATATCTCTGCCCTTTGCTGTGGTGCTGATGGAATTCTCCCCTCCTCCCTGCACCTTGCCTAGGTGTTACCTGCCTCAGGAGGGAATGGAGGTTTCTCTCTCCTAAATAGTTGCAAGGAGAGCAGCTTTCACTGGGACCACAGCAGGAAAGAAAGACTCCCCATCCTCTGCAGTCCCGGCACTGCTCAGGGGCCCCTGTGGCAGCTACTTAACATCTTTAAAAGCATATTGTGGGAAAACAATCAACATTTTCTTTGGCTGTCAGATTGGGCATTGTCCATACCTTAGTTCCCCAAACCAGGTTAATTTCTAATAGCTAGAACTGCTGTCACACAACTTTATTTATTTATTTTTATTTATTTAAAACATTTCTATGCTGCCCCATTCGCCGAAGCCTCGGGGCGGCTCACAACATAAATTAAAATATAATACATTAAAAATGTAAAACAAATTAACGATATAAAATAAGTCGCCCTGGCCAGATAAAATAAGCAAATAATATTAACAATTAAAATGACGTTTAAATAAAAAGGTCTTCACCTGGCACCAAAAAACAAATAACGACGGCGCCAGGTGGACCTCTCTGGGGAGCGCATTCCATAGATTGGGCGCCACCGCAGAGAAAGCCCTCCTCCGAATACCTACCCTCCTAATTTCTTTCATGGAGGGTTCCCGGAGAAGGGCCTCTCCTGCAGATCTCAAGGGGTGGGCGGGCGTATATGGATGCAAGTGCTCCTTCAGGTAACCAGGACCCAAGCCGTTTAGGGCTTTATAGGTCATCACCAACACCAACTTTAAGCTAGTTGTGTGCACAACACATTTTTCCCACTTTGAGGTGAAGCTGTTGGAAGTATTCCTTGCAATTTATCTAACATAAAGGCTCTCCCTTTGCTTAGTTAACAGTCTCTGGTTATCACACACTGATTAGGGCCTTTCACAGCCTTGGCAAACAAAATATTTAGTCACTTTGGTGGCACTGCCACTTCTCCCAGTTATGCACGTTAACGTCCCATGAAAACTAAAGAGCTGGTAGTTATTGGAATTCAGTGTGCATTCAGGTGTACAGGATGATGGACTCTCAAGGTTTTCCCTGCACTCTTCATGCTTTTGATGGCATTATAATTTCTCTCAGCCTTGGATTTAGTTAACATCTCCAGACAATACGGAGCCTGATGTAATGCAGACAATAGATATCATCTTGATATCCTGTTACCTAGTACAAAACAATTATTCATGCAGAGAACTTTTTATTCCTATTTGCAAAGAGGCTCCAAAGTAGCTTATGATTTAAAAAAAAAAGCATTTCTGATGTAAACTGATAACTTGGAAACTTTCCATGTTCTACTGTTGCTCCATGTGTCCTAAGTTTTCCTTCTCTCAAGGACTGTTGCTGCCTGTTTCATTTTGCCTGCCTTTGCATATCTGATTCCACTTAGCCAACAGTTAGCTCAAAATTAATAAGACAGCTTTGGACAAAAACCATGGTGCTGCCATCCTGCATGTTTATGATGATGTGTAGTGTCTGAGTGATGTTCTTGAATCATCCCTGAGATTGTGATCATACATAGCATGGCACATGCTAAAACTTTGGTGGCTTGACATCAGTTCCTCTTGTAGCATGTTAGAGCTCCTCAGAGAATCATGAATGGATGTCCAAACTCTTCATCAGTCTGGGTATCTGCCATGGTCCAAGAGGTAGAATACCACTGCCCTGTGTATTTAATTCCTAATTAGTGCAAGCTTTCTTCATTCCAGTGGTGTCCTGCAGGCAATTATATATTCTGCACTGTAATGACTGACAGACATTCATTTCCAAGATCATCAATAGAGATAGCATCTCCCTGCCCACTGCCATTAGAGATTCAGCCACATGTTACTGGGGACTGGGACTGGGGCTAGCATCTATTTGTCATATGGTTCCACACAAATTCCTTTTAATCCTTCCAGGCTTTTAAAATCTCAGATTATTTTATCTCTCAGCTGAAGGTTCTTATGCCCTCTTTAGATTTTGTTGCTGGTGATTTTGTAATTTGCTATAAAATGTTCAATTGGCTTGTTGCATTTTAATACTATATGCTGACTTTGTAAGCCAACCTGGGGATCATTGTGGAAATCACTAAAAGCAATTTTAAAATTAAGGGGGAAATGCTGTTGTTTTTGGCCTCCCTTTCCCCCAAAAGGCAGGCTGCTTTCTACAATAGGAGGGGCCTCCCTTCTGTTGCTGGCTGTGCTGTGATGATCCACTGATCCCAGCAACTCATCCTTCAATGCCATTCTGAATGGGAGAGGCAGTTCCTCCTCCGGGTTGTGCTTTGCCTCACCAAAATCACTCCATAGAAGCTGTTGGGTGCTGCAGCTGTCAAGGGAAGGGGATGGCAAAGCAAGGCGGCTGAAATTCAGCCTCTCCTTTCCATTCCTTCTCTTGGCCTTGGCAACCACTGATGGGCATGTTGCTGAGAGGGAGACATTGCAATGATTGCAAAAGCCAATCCAGTGCTAGTCCTCATTCTCACAACTGGAGGACAGGATGTGCCTTCGCACAGAACCTCAAAGTCAGCACAACCTCCTCATCCAAACTTGCATTTTTATCCAGGGATCTGCTTAGCCTGCCATATTATTTGTGGATGGTGTTTTTTACACACCTCTGAGTCAATAGGGTGAATGGTAAGTCTCAAATTAAAATGAAACCCTTCTGTTTAGTTTAAAGGTTAATTTTGTATTGTTCAATTTCCATTACAAAAAAAAGTTAATAAAGTTGGTTTTCAAAACACCTCTGTTACAAGATCTCTTCCTGTACCATTCATCTTTATTATTTACCTTTTTTGTACAGGTCAGTTTCTTTGAAGCCCATCTGAGTCCGCAATGGATCTGAAGCGAATAAAGGATTACATCTACTGGCTGTATTATCAGTACCTCCTGGTCACCTGCAGCTATGTCCTGGAGCCCTGGGAGCAATCTATGTTCCACACTATCACAATTACCATTGTTGCCATGGTAGTCTACACGGCTTACGTCTTCATCCCCATTCACATCCGCTTGGCTTTTGAGTTTTTCTCTCAGATATTTGGAAGCCAGCCTGAAAGTACTGTTTCACTCACAAACTGAGCCTTTGAATATGAATTAGCAACTTTTGCATCCTGCAAAATACGGTCTTCCTCAATATTGTCTTCCTCTATTCTTCCCACTTTTGTTTTGGAAGCCATTTTGAGTGTGTGGATTCATGCCTCTTCTCTAACAAAGCCAGGCTATCCTTACCCGGACTACTGGTGGGCTAGCGCTCCTTCAAATGCACACACACTGCTTCTATTCTGTTTAAATGGCACAGTTCCCATGGGGTGTGTTACTTTGCTAACCTTCACCATATGAATTGCATCTAGACAGGTCAAACAGAAATATTTGCTCTTTTAACACTTAGTGAACCTGTTTCCATATTACACTGGGAAACTATGATTGGTTCAAACTTGCATGCCCTTCACACACCTCTTTTGTACACCATATGTCTTGAGTTTTTTCTTTAATTCCTAGCAGTGTAAACATCTGTGAAAATAACAAAAAAACTATTGTAATTGCTACATTTTAAACTTGTCCTTAAATTATGCTTTTTATGAATGACAGAAACTTTTATCTTGTGATGCGTTTACCACTCATTATACAGTATATCTACTATCCTGAAAAGAGATTTTCATAGGAATCTAGGTTTAATGTAGGGGTAGCTAACCCCCACCCATCAGCTTTTTTTGCCCCCCCCCCCACACCGCTGTTACCACCTAATTTGCCACCACTAAAATTCTACAACTGAGCAGGAAAACCAACTTTTTGTTGTTGCTAGAATAGCAAACAGCAGTTTTCTGACAATATTTGGCAACAGAAAAGAGAATGGTCTGCCTATTTTTTTAAATGGCCCGTTTTTTCTGTCAAATTTTGGCAGTGGGAAGGAGACAGGGGAGCATGCACTGGTGGGTTACAGATGTGAAATCCCCCCCCCCTTCCCTGCAAGTTGCCCACCCTGGTTTAGAGGAATAATTTCAATGCATTTGTTTAGGGTGGGGAAAAAAGTAAAGTTGGTTAAAAAATACAGTTATCTGAACCCAAAGAACTGTGGACAGAAATCTGCTCATATAATGGAACTTTGTTTGCCCTAGCTCTTAGTGCCCATTCCTCCTCCCAAAAGAAAAACAAAAACAGAAGAACCTCATCTAGAATGGGAGATGTAGTGCAGGAGATACCAAGCACCAGACAAAGAAGGTGCTTTTGTGAGTTTCTGTATCCCAGCCATGGTGTTAGTAAGAGCACAGAACCCAGCATCTTGGTTATTTTTATCATTTTAAAGGTGCAGGAAAGTTTATTTTTGTTCAGAGAGGAGTAAATGCAACATTAGAATTTTTTCTCCTTTTTAAAGTACCTTGTTACAAGAAATCAATTCAGAGCTGTACCTGATTTTTACAGTGATTTTTTTTTTCTTGCTGTGGTAGAATGGGATTAGGCTTGCTAGAGAAATGCTTCCCAGTGTGTAAGTGATGATAGAAATAATATCCCAGTAACTACAGAGTCTTTTCAAGCATTTATATGGAAGATTCAGTACAAAGGTTTCTTTCATAAAGCAGAAATGGATCTTGCTTACCTTGAGTTTTCTTTTTTAAAAATACCAATGTTACACTTTATCTAGATGAAATGTGACTAGAGCAGGCAAGGCTGGTGTACTTCTTGCAGTTCACACAGCCACCACTAAGGTGATGCTAAGTGTCAAATGTAAATAGCTCTCTAAACAGAGTTTGCACAATTACATACAAGGTGATGAATTTGTATCCTACACAGATTGCACAGGACTCTGCGTGTTTTTTTTAAAAAGCAGCAAGTTATTCTGTTTCTGTCACAAAGTCATGTCTTGAAGATTTAAAAGATCTGAACGTGTGTGTTGTTTTGCAGAAGCAAGAATAAAGGGATTTTTATTTTAAACTAGCTCTCTGTGTTGTTTTCTGAGGCTGGAATCCTGGTCCTTCCATATAGCACAGAAAGAAGAGGGGCATCTCTGGCCCAGATCCACTAGAAAGTTCTCATGAATTGATCACCACAACAATCGTAGCCATCCCAAACACAGCCGGGCCACCATCCATGAATTTGTCACAACTCCTTTTAAGGTAATCCAAAGTGGTGACCATCACTGCATCTTGGGAATAGAATTAAATAGTTTAATTGAACCAAATTCAATAGTTTAACTATAAGGAGTTTTGTAAGATGTACTTATTTTTATTTGTCCTGAATCTCCCAACACTTATCTTCATGCTATGCCTCTCTATCCACTTTCTCCACACCATCTTTGGACTCCTCTGTAATTTTCTAAACTAAATAATCTCGGATTGATTGATTTAAAACATTTGTATGCTGCTCAATTGTGCCACGGTACCTCTGGGCAGCTCATAACACAAGATAAAAACACAATAAAAAATAAAACCATAACATATTATACATTAAAACAATAAAATACAGTAAAACATACAAAGCAAAGGTCTATGTCAATTAGTCATTAAATGTTTTTTAAAAAGGAAGGTCGTAACCTTTCTTCATAAAGGCACTTCTCCAGCCCCTTGATTATGTTAGCTGAAGTTTTCTTCACCTTCCTCTAATTCTACAATAGCTTTTTTAGGTTCCATGCCCAGGACTGAACGGGGTATTCCAAGTGCGGATGCACCATACGTAGATTTTGATAGCCGGAGTCTTGGCAGTTTCCTTCTCAGTTCCTTTCCTAATTATACATGACATGAAGTTGCCTTTTTCACAGCAGCTGCACACAGGTTGAACTGTCCACCACAATCCTAAGATCTTCTCAGTCAGTCCCATCAGATTGCACTTGAAGCTGGCATGTTTTGCGTCAGTCGGCATCACATTACACTTGCTTTGATGCCTATTCTTCCATTTTGTAGCGATCCTCTTGATTCTTTTTGTTTTAATCATCCTAAATAATGCAGTGATGTCAGCAAACTTGTCCATTCCACTTGGCCATTCTAGTGCTCACTCCTAATTCCACACCATAAGCTGATTCCCACTCTTATAAGTTGAAAAACATTGGTCCCAATGCAAATCCCTGTGGGAACCCACTTTTTCCATCCATCCATTGAGAATTTACCATTTACTCTCTGCTTTCAGTTTTTTATCCTGTTTGTGATCCAAAAGAGAACCTCTCTTCTTATTCCATGATTGCTAAGTTTTCCAGGAGTCTTCATTCATGGACTTGGTCACAAATTTTTTGGATGTGAACAGCATCTATCGGATCATCCTCATGTTTATTGACACAATCAAAGAATTCTAAAAAGCTACTGAGCCAGGACTTTCCTTTGTGAAAGACATTGTGTCCCTTTGTCAGGAGGACTCATATATTTTTATTTAATAACCTTTTTCAACTAGTTTACTTGAAATAGATATTAACCTAACCAGATCCCTGTAATTTCCCAGATTCCTCCTGGATCCCTTTTTAAAAATTGGTGTTACATTTCCCATTCTCCAGGGCAGAAGTTGATCTCCGGGCAGTTTTTGTTTCTGGTTTTTTTCTAAAGATCAGCAGTTTCAGATTTGAGTTTTTTAAGAAACTGGCAACATTGTTGCTTGCTTGCTTGCTTGATTGGTGTCAATCATTTCATTGCATGAATCAGAGAAAACATGTGGCCTTGTAGATCTTGTTGGATCACAACACTGATCATCCTAACCAGCATAACCAGTGGTATGGGATTACAGCCAAACAATATCTGGAAGGCTCTACATTCCTCATCTCTGGTGTGTTAAGTTTTATGGGTTTTACATTTAAAGTTTTACTGGCTATGAAGGATTGTTATCTGACATTGATTTGATATACTTCTGGGACTGTGATTAATGTCATGCAGTGCTTATTCATTGTCACTGATCACCAGCATGAAAATAGGTTTCTCAAGCTGCTGTTACAAGAGAAGTGGCTAAGACACTTAGGTAAGATTTTGGGGGTGGGGGACAGGTGGGTTTGGTGGTAGGACAGTTGGGAATGTAAGGGTCTGTCTATTGCTTGACTATGTGTTTTAGAGCTCCCAATCAATTTGGAACTTAATAATGAAGTTGTAATGTATTGAGCTGATGGAGATCATCTTGGACCTGGTGTTGAGGACACCCAGGATGTTGGTGCCATGGTATATGCCAGAGTTGCAGGTGATGAAGCAGGCTGGGAGACAACTAGATCGCAGGTGGAGAAAATCTCATAACAAATCTGACCGAATGCATCTTAGAGCTCACTACTGAGCCTATGCTGTGGCCATGAGGGCAGCAAAAAAGGAATTCTCCTCCGTTTCCATTGCATCCTCACAGTGCCATCCAGCGGAGCTTTTTCAGGTGGTTCAGGGCCTATTACACTCTGGGCCTAAAAATGACCTTATCACGCCATCAGTGGCTTGCTGTGACAACTTCACCCAGCACTTTAGGGATAAAATTGCTCAGATTCACCACAAACTGGACTCCACAGTTGATATGGCCCTGGAAAGGAAAGTGTCCAGAGTGCTGTCTGGTCCGTCTTTACTGAATGAGTTTCAATTCATGTGGCCTGAGGATGTGGACAAGGTGCTTAGACTGGTCCATTCCACTACTCCAACCCACCGCCTGTTTGCTCAATCAACTTTTGCCCCTTGTGACTGCTCATCAAAGCCAAAGACGGGATATGCAGCTGGGTCCAGAAGGTTATCAACACCTCTCTGACACTATTCCTTTCAGTGCCAGGCTAAAACCTTTCTGTTTTCCCATTATGTTAATGTTTAATTAGGTTTTACTGTGGGTTTCATTTTATTAGAATTATTTGGATGCTGTGCTTCATTTCATTTAATGTTGCTTTTACTATCAGACCGTCCTGAGACGCTAGTTGGATGGTATATAAAAGTTTTAAATAAATAAAAGGTTGTTTGATTCAGGCTTGACACAAGGTGTGTGTTATGAATAGGTGTGTTTCAGTCAATGATATGACTTATAGCAACATTCACCAATTTCCCAAGACTAACAGTGACATGTCCCAGACAGTTCTGTAACAGAAAAGAGGCCTGCATGGGAGCCAAACACAGGACTGCCACCCAAAACTGCTTGGTAGGTTTTAGGATACA